TACCATCTAAGATCTGTGAAACTGATGCACTTGCTAAACAAGAAAATTGACATTGAAAGTGATGAGAGGAGTGGTGAGAGCAAGTAATCCTTGCTGTAATGAGTTAGATTCATCATTAAGATTTTGAACATCTTGAGCTTCTGATGAGGTTTCATTTAAAGAAATACCTTCAAGCAATGCTCCTTTTTTTACTTTCTCCTCATAAATTATTTATTTTTAGTATGAGTTTGAGGACCAACAGTATTTAAAGATGATGGATTTGATGATGATGTTTCTAGACTTAGAATAGGGCTACAAAAATAACAATCATGATTGTTGTGCTCTTTTAATTCTATAGTTTTCCTGTTTAATAATAGTATTCTCAAACCAAAAAGTTAATTATTTTTAATTATGACAAAATAATTTCTTGCCACAAAACATTTCATCAGGTATCATTTAATCATGACATCATCAATGACACATTTTTGACATTTAACTTTAGTAATTGTCAATTAGTCATCATTTATCATTCTATTTTATTTTATTTTATTTAAAATCATGTTATTTGTAATACTTTAAGAAGTATAAATATGCTTGAAATCTCCTTTAGTGAAAAAAAATTAATCAATAAAAATAAATAATTAATCTTATAACACTTTAGTAATAAAAATAACATTTTCATTAATTGATAAATCTGGCATGATTGATTGATTCATAACCCTTTCTGATGATTAACGGTTTGGCCAACATTTAATTATTAGTTAGGAATCCCTTTTATTGGTTTACTATATTGCTTGTAGGGATGCCTCAAGTATTGTATATAGTTGTGCTAGATTTGATGATTGCAGAGTTTCTATTCGTAATACAAATTTTTGTTTGAATTATTCAAATCATTTGTTTATATTCGAATTGACATCATTCGTTTATCATTCAAATTGACATCATCACTTGTTAATTATTCAAATTGACATCATTTGTTTATCATTCGAATTGATATCATCATTCATTTATTATTCAAATTATCATCATCATTTGTTTATCATTCGAATCGACATCATTTGTTTATTCAAATATTTGTTTTGCTTGAATTATTCATTTTATTTCATTTATTCGTTTTATTGTTCGAATTGTTGTCATTCATTTATTCAACTATTTGTTTATTCATTTTATTCAAACTATTTGTTTATTCGTTTTGTTTGAAATATTCTAATTATTTGTTTTACTCGAATTATTCGTTTTGTTCGAAATATTTGAATTATTCATTTTATTTGAATTATTCAAATTATTATTATTTGTTTATTTGTTTTATTTAAATTATCAATTGAATTATTTATTTTATTTATTTATTTGAATTATTCGTTCATTCATTTTATTTGAATTATCAAATTATCAAATTATTCATTATTTATTTTATTTGAATAAACTTTCAATGTAATTCAAATACTCAAATTCATAATAAGCAAAAACCAAATTAACCAAATTTTAGAAGACAAACTATTAACCAAAATCACTAAATTATGGACTCGAATGAACCAAATCAAGTCAATAACGAACAAAAGATTAAGAAATAGAGTGAAAAATATGGATAATGAGTAAAACAAATAATTCAAATAAACCCTTATTCAAATAGAAGCCCTAATCAAGCAGTATAGTTGTATGTAGTGATTTTAGTTTAGTTTTCCAGATTTGGTGACTCCAACAACACAGATCACATGCTTGCAATATTTTATTACAGTTTTATGACTTTAGGGTGTCAATGCTGAATTGTTGTAGTTCAGATAAAATTTAATTTTTTTTTTATATAAATCTAATATTAATTAATATATTTTTGTGATACATATTTGTGGCTGAAAAAAAAATTCTTTAAAAAAAAATTTTTTTTTTACAAATATACAAAAACCACAATGGAAAACATTTCAAATGAAAATAAACATCATGACAATACTTCTACTGACAAAAATGATGAATATTCTGATGAAAGACATGGAAGGTATGGGGAATGTCTAACATGCAATAGATATAATACTAATTATTTATGGTGTAAATCATGTGATCCAAAGTTATTAACTGAAGGATGGACTAGTGGCAATGAAACATTAGATGAGTTGATTAAAAGTACA